ATGTGGCAGCTTTTTGCCAAAAAAAGTTATGTTCGTGTATCGGGTTGCCAAAAAATCAAAGGTGGTGTATTAAATTGTCAAACTTTAACTGATGGTTTGGCTTTTGTTTGCTGAGTCAGACTTCTCGGTAACGTGGCCGTTAAGAACAATTGCCACGTCAGCTTTCAGTTGACGGACGTTAAATCCATGTATCGAGTTGCCAAGAATGTAAAAGTCATGTATTTATTTGCCAAGGTCTAAAAGTCGTGATTAAATGGCCAATCAAGTAAAAGTCGTGTATTTTCCCGTCATTATGCCTTTAAATAATGTTTAGGTCCACCAACAAAATACTATTGCACTCTCTTATCATCCCCGAATTATATTCGAGACTCCACTAATAATTACTCGAATAACCTCTCTATGTTAGATGTCCATCAATTAGATTAGTGACAATAAAGAATTAATTTATTGAATTGAAGCTAGCAGCACTCAAATCTGTCGAATCTTAATCCACATGTAAGGTTTAACATAATAATCCTTCATGAGCTCATTTCAGAGACCTCATTTAACTAATGCACATGGTGACCGTAAATATTCTAAGAACACATCATACATACAACACTATTAAACAAAACACGAAGACTATCGACCCAACAGAATGAATCTCGCTTCTGGTGAATCAATTTAGCATCTGTTGCATGTACATGTTTGTTTATATCTTACGAGTTAAGAAAACGCGCGCGGTAATTAGAGTTCGTTTACGACTCAGTACAAAACGAACTAATCTTCTATGGAATCTTATTCAATACCAGTGTTTTAAAACGTGTATAGCATAATGCGTCGCGTTTTGGTCTTTATACTGCGTAGCGTAAATAGCGTTGCGTGTTTTTTTTTCCCGAAACGACAGAGGAGCTATTATAAATCAAAAGCGCACAAATGTGCGAATAAAGATACAAAGCTCCCAACGGGAGAATAAAATGGGAGGACAGGTCAGAAGACCGCCTAGAATCCCGCTAGCAACGCTAGAAAAAAACAACCCAAACTAAACTAAACAACAACTGAAAAAGACCCCAACAGGGTAATACCCGAGTGTCGGATCCCAACAGGATAATAAAGTTGACACTCGGGCTCACTGAGGCCAACGACCCAGACCAAAAATACAACAGAAACAACAAAAAACACGACTACCGACCCCAACGGGGTAATACAAACTAACACAAACAAGACAAAACATCACACAAAAATACAAACTAATGAACAAAAAAACAAAGCAAATTAAACAAGCCCCTCCTATGCTGCAACATCGATTCAAACCATTGGAAACCAGTCAACCACGGATCCCAAAGCTAGAAGCATCAGCTCCGAAACCGCCAAACCCACTCGGGTGCCTAACGGAGGCGAAACCCCAACTCCGAAACCACAGCAGGCCAACGAGCACCACGGCCACAACACCCAAGTGCCCCAAACAGGCAAAAGAATG